AGAGGTATGGATATGAAAACTATAATGAAATGATTCTGGGAATATATAACAATATTTTAGGTTGAAAATCTAAAGAGTTCTCATTGGTAACTCGTGTTAACGTGAAGAAGTTCGATATGAAATATGATTATATAGACTAATTAGATAAATGATTTGTTTACACCTTGAAATTCTTCATAATTAAGAATTAAGCACTCTAAAGATAAAGAAATTTAAGAAAAGAGTAAAACATTTATATAAAGATGCAACAAAGGAAGAATTCTTATTATATATACACAAAAAGCACTAAAACGGTATAAATAGAAAGAAAATGTAATTTTAGAGCAATTTATAATGTTTTATAGTTACTAACTTAGTGTGATTGATATATTATATTATATGATCTCGAATGCCATATCCAGTTTTGGATTTTTTTGAAACAGAAACTCTAACCTTTTCGACGGTTAGGAAAATATTAGTTTACTCTACAGTCCTCTGGCGATATTCGTGAGTACTTCGACTATAAAGAAGAAAAACTAACGATTTTTTTTTTAAGACAAACTTTTGTAAACTAACATGATATATCCATATAAATTTTTGTATTAAACTAACATGGTATATCCATATAAATTTTTGTATTAAACTAAATCAATACTCTTTCTATTTCAATTTATTTGTTGTTTACGGTTTTGGCATATAAATTAAATATTATTTCATTTTTTATTTTATTTTAATTTTGAAAGATTATTTCTTATCTAACTAAAAATATTTTTGTCACCAATTAAAAAATATTACTCCAATAAGATGAAAACATCAAATAAAATGAAACAATTTTTTTTTCCTTAAACATCAATAAATTGAAAAAGAGGGAGTATTATATTCTTAGCATTTTAAACCCTATAGTGAGCAAATAAAATGACAGATTGGTGATTTAATTTGATGACTTTTCTTTAAAAGAAAATATCTGTTTCAGTAATTCTAAACATATATAGTGAAAAAATTAAATAAACATTATCGGTTTGATCTTTAATAGATAGTTCAACTGATGTATTAGTTGGTTCATTTACAGAAACAAAATTCAAGATGACAAATTGAAATTAGTTAGGATAAGAAGAAGAAGCCAAACTAGTTTAACATCTTATATTATCCATGATCTGAAAAAAAATTATAGATATAGGTTTAAAATTTTTGATTGCGAAATAAAAGAAGAAAACATTACCAGTTTGGAGTTTCTTGAAAAATTAGAACTAGTATGCAATCTTGTTTTTAGATTCCGTAGAATATTCTTACGCAAGGATTAGTCAAAAGGAGTTGAAGTGACCCTACTTCATAAACTACTATTATCCAATTTTTACGTGTGTTTGTCCTCTTTATAGTAAGCAAGGTCGGCCCACTGATAAATTCACAGCTAAACTTTTCAACTAAGTTTTAATTTACTTATTGAATTAAATAAAGGTAATTAAACTCATGCATCATACATCTACCCAACCCCAAAACAATTTTGAATCTCCGTCTAAATTTAAGAGTTTTATAATTGTAGAGTAACCGTTGATCAAAAAATAATAATAATAATTGTACAGTAACCATATTATAAGAAACTAAAAGTAAAAAATATTGGATTACATTTCCAGAATAAAAAAATTAAAGTGACGAAAGATAACCATTTGAATCATATTTTTTAATATTAAAAAGACAGTCTAGGTATTTTCACTCGATTAATTTTTTTCAAAATAAATATAATCGTCGAATATTTTATTCATAGAGTTTTTTACAGACGTCAAACATAATATCACTTCCACAGATAAATGAGAATAATTTAGATAATCTTACGTTTAAAATTTTGATCTTTATTCTGAATATACAAAACAATGGCTCGTCAAATGAGAAAAGTCATACATTTTAATATTTAAAAAATAAACTTGAATCTATTTCTAAATTCTTCCACACAGATCTTTATTATAAGAAATGGAAAAGTATTACCAACTTTGGATTGCATTTGAAAGATAAACTTCTGATTCAGATATCTAAATATTGGACTGTAATTAAAGGGAAAGACCGCAAATGGTCGGTCAGTCTGTCATATGTCGGACAAATTACCATAAGAAGAAAATAGACCAAACGGTTAGTGGGTCACACAAGAGATCCTCCAGAGTTTATTTTGTTTAATGAATTAAATGTTTGGCCTTAAATGGTAACATAAGAAAAACATTCAGCCGGATTCAGCTAGATTCAGCAATTCCGCAGTCACCATTTGCATAAAATTAAATTCAGCTGAATTCAGCCAGATTCAACAGTTTTTTCAGCACCAACAGATACGTAGATACGTTTATATCTGGTAAAAATTTGGATAATAACGAACACATAAGTCGAATTAAAATATTTTGGATATCAAAAATTACACATCAAATTTATATTTTTAAAATAAGTCAGATTATACACATACGATATATAAATAATTCAGATACATAATATATCACTACCACAATATACAAGAGACGAATTCATATTCGGATAACTATAGATATTTTTGGATAATTTTAATAATTTTTAGATAATTTAAAATTTTGTAAAAACAACATAAAATAAACAATTAGATAATCTATATTAAATTACCATGTTAATTTCTTAAATTAAATTATCAATATTGCTTTACAAAGCTTTTCATTAATTATCTATATATTTCATATTTTAAAAATTAAATATGGAAGAATAACTAAATTAATTAGTATAACAGTTAATTAGATCATTAGATAATTTTATCTATTTTATTTTGATATTTTTTTAATTATTTTATTAATATTCATAATTATTTGACGATATTTTTCAGTTAAAGTCTTTATTATTTTGATAGATTCTACCAAAAATCACAAAAACATTCAGCTAGATTAAGCGGTTACCATTTGGAAATGTAAAAATTCAGCTAGATTCAGCTAAAAATCACTAAAAATTCAGCCAAATTCAGCAATTCAGCCGGATTCAGCTAGATTCCTCGGTTACCATTTAGACCCTTTATGTTAAAAAATATGTTACAGAAACATATCATTTGTTTGCCTCACTTAAGTAAATACTAAAACCGTCCAATTAATTTTTTTTTTTATAGGATTAAATTATTTTAAGTAATCTTTTCTTAGTTTTATTCTAATTTTAACTACAAATTAACAATTACAATCCTTCCATCTATAAGCCAACTTCTCTTTCTTCTCTCTAAAATATCTTTCAGAGAGAGAAGTTCTTATCTTTGATCGCCGTCCGACATATTTTGTCGGTTTTTGTGGCCGGACGAATTCTGGTATCGCCGTCAACACGGCTTTTCCGTTGCCGTGTGCTTGCCGTCAACATGGTTTTTCCGTTGCCATGTTCTAGCCGTCAGCACGGCTTTTCGTTGCCGTGTTTGTGCCGTCAACATGGCCTTCCGTTGCCATGTTCTTTTGTTGTTTCAAAACTCGATGTTGAAGATTTTAGGGGTTGTGTGATTGATAGATCGAGAGAGTTTTCTCTTCGCCAGATCTAATCTCCTCTGCCTTGATCTGCTTTGCCGTTGAGTTTTTGCTTTTGGCTCCGATGTGTTTTCCAGTGATGGTGTGTGGTTGTGTCTTCCGTATAGATGCTTGGATCCACCGGTTTTAAGACAGTTTATGGTTTTATGCGTTGAAGGTCTGATTAATAGCTCTTTTCCTGTGCAAATTTTAGTTGCCTTTTGCTGCTTTGCAAAATTCAGAGATTCAATTGAATAAGGCATGGGTAGACTACTCATTTTCTAATTTCTTTTACCCGATTTCGCTAATTACTTTGTGTATTTAGCAATTGGATGAGATTAGTAGATTGGGTTATGTCTTGTTTCCCGTTTGTTGCCATAATCGGTGAGGAAAAAGAAGATTCGTTGTTCGGTTCTTACTCCGGCAATGTTTTCCGATTCACCGGGTTTGGAATCTCATGCGGCAGAGGTTGAGAAAGCAACACGTATCCTCTGCTCATCCATATCGTTTGATGCGTTATGGAGCTAGTTTCTTATTGGGCCTTTTGTTTCTGTTTGGGCTTCATTGTAAACAATGATGAGACTGTCTTTTTGTAATGTTTCATATATCAATAATACTCTGTGACAAAAAAAAAAAACTACAAATTAACATAGAATACAAATACTATAGTATAGAAAAGAATATTCATTCGTAACAATTAAAATTTTTGATAATATCGTCCAAATATTTAGATAATTTCCAAACCATTTTCTTAAGTTCGATTTTTTTTTGAGATAGAATATGGAAAAGTATTACCAACTTTGGATTACGTTTGACAGAAACAAATTAACATAAAAGTTTAATCTTTTGAGTTTTTAACATAAAATATTTAATTGCATGTTAATTTGATTTAAATTAAATTCTCAAAATATTTAGATTAAATCAAAAGATTAACATAAAAGTTTAATCTTTTGAGTCATGCAATTAAATATTTTGATTTAAACGTCCACATATACCGGAAATAGTCGGTCGGTCATCGGTCAGACAAACTACCACAAGAAATTAACATAGGCCAAACGGTAAATGGTCCCACAAGACTTTTCCTTCTCCACGTGGCATCATCACCGCCTAGTACATTCCACGCAGACACGTGTCACCCAAATAACCAATCAGATCATCCCACACTAATACAGAATTGAATTTTTAAAACGACGCCGAAGTATCTGAAGTAGGAACATAGTGATAAGTGACCGATCAACCACCACGAGGGCTATTAAAAAACCTTGATGAGTCGAACAGTCCAGATACTGACACGTGTCACTATGTAACGTCGTGGCATCACCTGGATTTAACTGGGACCCACTATAAATAGTTAATTCAAAACGAAGCTTCGCGCACGTATCCTAAGCCGTTGGATTCCACCGTATTGGTCAATAGCCGTTGGATCAAAATCTTTCTCTGGAAACGTTTAGTAGTCGGTCGTATTTAATTATACAAAGTAATTAGCAATTAATCTTTAAATTAATTAAGACAAAATTCTATATAAAGCACCATTATGCTTCACCAACAAACTCATCACACTACACACAAACTCAAACTCAAACAAACACAAACACAAAACACAAAAGTATTTTCTAAAGACAAGAAGATGGCACCTGAGATCAATACCAAACTTACCAGACCGGTCCTCTCAGCCACCGCTTACGACGGAGAAAAGAGAGCTTACGTGACCTTCCTCGCCGGAACTGGAGACTATGTGAAAGGAGTGGTGGGTCTTGCTAAGGGGTTAAGGAAAACTAAGAGCAAGTATCCACTTGTGGTGGCGGTTTTGCCGGATGTACCGGAGGATCACCGGAAACAGCTGGTGGATCAAGGCTGTGTTGTTAAGGAGATAGAGCCGGTTTATCCACCGGAGAATCAAACTGAGTTTGCTATGGCTTACTACGTTATCAACTACTCTAAGCTTCGTATTTGGGAGGTATGCATAATTTTTTTCTGGTTAGTTCGGTTCAAGTTTTTCTATTTTTCAAAAAATTTTGTTTGTTTTTGAAAAAAAAAATTGTTTGTTTTAAAAACATATAATAAAATAAAATAAATTTTTTTAATTACGATTTTTTTAACTTTTTTTAATGTAAATTTAATTATAAACATCTTCAAAATAAATATTTAGTTAATTTGGTTTGATAAATTAAGAGTGAATCGATCTATAACTCGTATTATTAATTGATATATCCAAAAATATTTATGACAACTTTAATGGGTTTTTTTTATACTTCTAATATCTTCTATATAAAAATATATGTGGGTGCAGTTTGTGGAGTACTCCAAGATGATATACTTGGACGGTGACATACAAGTGTTCGACAACATAGATCACTTGTTTGATCTTCCAAACGGCCAATTCTACGCAGTCATGGACTGTTTCTGCGAGAAGACATGGAGCCACTCGCCACAGTACAAGATCGGTTATTGTCAACAGTGTCCGGACAAGGTGACATGGCCAGAGGCCGAGCTTGGTCCTAAGCCGCCTTTGTACTTCAACGCCGGTATGTTCGTTTACGAGCCTAGCCTCTCCACTTATCATAGCCTCTTGGAGACTGTCAAAGTTGTGCCTCCCACTCTTTTTGCTGAACAGGTAAATAGAAAAAATTATTAAGTTATATAAACCAAAAAATATTATTAATTATTATGGATATTATAGCTTAAAAGTTATAATAACTTGATTTGTACTTATTTTTGTTACAGGATTTTTTGAATATGTACTTCAAGGACATATACAAGCCAATACCACCAGTGTATAACTTGGTCATGGCAATGCTTTGGAGGCATCCAGAGAATATAGAGCTTGACCAAGTCAAAGTTGTTCACTACTGTGCTGCTGGTGCTAAGCCTTGGAGGTAAGATTATTACAATTTCAACTTATTCTCAATCTAGGTAATATATATATTGACGTCCATGAAGTTCCTTTATTTCTCTATATTTGAAACCAAAATTTTAATATATTTAATATAATTTGATATATCAGAAAAGTCTTTGCATATAACTAAAAATAAGTTGAAGGTACTACTAAGTCGTAGAACTAAATGTTGCAAATTTAATTGGAATATTTAGAATTTTCCATTGGAAATATGTTCTAACAAAGTTTTCTTTAACCAAAATAGTTAGAACTCACAAACATTCTTCTCATGAACTTTACTTTTGGAGTAATATTATACTATATGAGCTATTTTAATATTAATTTGTTTGTAGAAAAGTTGTGGATTTAAATTTTCTGAAAGTTGTTTGTGGTATTTGTATCAGATTCACTGGAGAAGAAGAGAACATGGATAGAGAAGACATTAAGATGCTGGTCAAGAAATGGTGGGACATTTACAATGACGAGTCTCTTGATTACAAGAACGTTGTTATTGGAGATAGCCACAAGAAGCAACAGACACTTCAGCAGTTTATCGAAGCTTTGTCCGAAGCCGGTGTGCTTCAGTACGTCAAAGCTCCATCTGCAGCTTAGACACAATATAATCATCAAGCTTTATGCATAGGCCTTTTATGATATAATGTTGCTTTAGTTTGAAACTTGTTTATAGGACCATATATACATATTCTATATGGGATTGTGTTACTAGCTATTTTAATTTTAATTTTAATTTTATGGGTTTTGGAGGATTTTTTAAATCTCCATATCCGTTTTTACTTATTATATATACTAGTTTGTTGAGAAGGAACAATGTGTCCGACAATATTGTAAAGTATACTTATAAGTATGAGAATACAAGTATAGTGTTCAGTTATATTTATTTTGTTCTTCATTATCTTTTCCAATTTTTGAAGACTTGGTTTTTATCAAGCATAAAGCATTTGTTCTTTTTATGTCTTTATAAGACACCACAAATTTTGTTAAAGAAATAACTTTTGTTAAAACACTTTCTGAACACGGATTGAAAGATCCTAAAGATCTCTTTTATTTCACCTACTTATAATTTGTTATGAGATTAGCATCAGCTTGCTCTAAATGTCTCTTACATTTCACACAATATATCTATTCTCTCTTCATAAAAATCTTTCCATCAGTCTAAATGAAAAGTTAATAAATGTAACGGAATAACTCAACTACAATAACATGCATAAAACTGTTTCATGTGATGTAACACATAATGTAAAACAATTACTCAGCTTTAAAGACATACAATACATGAGTTTACCAGTGCCACCAATTTTAAACCAACTTCAAGTAGTGGCTGCTAAAAAATATGGCTTTGGCTAGTTATGTATTGTTGTTTGTATCAAAACCTTATCAATTGTATGGGAAATTGAGTAAGTGCAGTTTTTTGCAAAAGCTGATTAGATTTCATGAGCATGTTGTTTCAGAACCTGGGATATCAGTGGATCTAGAGAAGATAGCCTCGATAACTAGTCGGCCAACACCCAAGAACACTATTGAGATCCGTAGTTTTTTTTGGATTGGTAGGTTACTACCGAAAGTTCATAGAGGGATTTACTAGCATAGCTAAGCCGATGACTCAGCTTACATGAAAGGATGTGAAGTTTGAATGGACAAAAGAGTGTGAGAGCAGCTTTCAAAAGTTGAAGGGACATTTAACAAAAACACTAGTGTTAGTACTACAAAGGACGTGGGTACTATATGTGGTGTATACAAATGCATCGAGAACTGAGTTAGGGTATGTGTCAATGCAAGATATGAGAAGGTCATTTCTTATGCATTGAGAGAGCTAAAACCGCATGAAGTTAATTACCATGCATACTCATGATTTGGAGTTAGCAACCGTGGTATTCGCTTTAAAGATTTGGCGAGCTTACCTGTGTGGGGAGAAGGTTCAAGTATTTACAGATCAAAAAAGTTTGAAGTATATATTCACTTTATCGGATCTCAACCTAAGGTAAAGGAGATGAGTAAGGTAAAGGAGATGAGTGGAGTTGTTAGTAGATTATGAATTGGACATTGCCTACCATCCTGGAAATGCTAATTTGGTTGTTGACGCCTTGGGCAAGCGTAAGAGTGATGTCTCCAGAGAAAAAAAGATAGGAGAGCTGGGAGACACCTTATATGCTTTGAGTATTTGTGCAACCTCGGCTAGAGAAAACGTTTTTGGATCAGGAGCTGTGAATCAGGCAGTCATTGTGGAGAATCTGTGAAGCACAAATATTTGATGCTAATTTGAAAAAGGCGATTGAAAACAATGTGGAGGGATTCCACACTGCAGAGAATGGTATGTGGATGTATAAGAACCGAGTTAAGGTGCAAGATGATAAAGGTCTAAAGGATGAGATTTTGCCACAAGCTCACAACTCGCGGTTCTAGGTTCACCTTGAAACAACTAAGATATATAATGACCTGAAACGATATTACAACTGGACTAATATGTAACGTGATGTGGCTGCTTGGGTATTAAAGTGTTAGACATGTCAGCAAGTAAAAGCAGAGCATCGAGTTCCAGGTGGTTTACTCCAGAATTTTCTCTTACTAGAGTGGAAATGAGATATATATGATAACGATGGATTGTCACCGGGCTGCCAGCGACCACTAGCTGTAAAAATGTCATTTGGGTGATCGTGGAACTCACTAAAACTAATAGTGCGGATGTTTTAGCGTAGTAGTACCTAGACAACATTGTTACAAAGCATTGTTTCAAATTGGGTTACAAAGTTTACATCTATATTTTGGCGAGCTTTTTAGAAGGCATTGGGAACAAATGTGTGCCTCAATATATATAGCGTATCATCCCTAGACAGACGGATAGTTTGAGAGGACAATTGAGACGCTAAAGGACATGTTGAGGGCGTGTGTATTTGATTGGAAAGAAAATTGGCTCAAATACCTACCATTGGTGGAATTTGTGTATAACAATAGTTATCACTCCATCATAGTAATGCCACCGTATGGGGCTCTACAAACCTAGAGCCAAAAATGGTCAAAGAGACTTAGAGCAAGTGGGATTGCTTTGAGCTAGACTAAAGAAAGCCCATGACAGGCAGAAGAGTTATGCACACAAACGTCGAAGGCTTTAAAATTTGTAGTAGGTGATGCATTATACATAAAAATGACTATATTTAGGGGAACAGATAAAAACAGAAAGTTACAAAAAGCTTAAACCAACGTATATGGGACAATATGTCAATACAAAGAGGATTGGAGCTGTAGCTTCCATGTTGTGTTTCACGTGTCAGTTTTGCGGAAAGTTGTCAAGGAACCGAAATTGATCCTACCAAACCCGCATGCAAATTTAAACTAGAATTTGACTACATTAAATAAATCTGTGGAAATCTTGGACCGTTAGAAAACAAAAAACCAGGGAAAGGTGACAAAGTCAATTAAAGTATGCTGGGAAAGAGACGGAATCCAAGAAGAGATTTGGGAATCAGAATAACAAATGAGGGCGGACTATCTAGATCTTTTTAAAGACAAAAGTGATGAACATGGAGACAGATCGAATTCGGAGATGAATTCCATTGTAGTGGGGGAGAATTGTAATGATCCGAGTTTGGGATTGAACCCTGAGGTCCAAAATGATCCGAGTTTGGGATTAAATTGTGGGATTGCTAAATTATTAAATTTTGTTGGGTTTAATTATTAAACAAGTCTAATTAAATTAGTTGGAGGAAAACCCAGTCAATTAACCTAAGGCTTAGAAATTTTGTTTCGATATTAGATTAAATCATAGATTATTAATTGGTTATAATCTTGATCGGTTAATTTAAATCGTTGCACATTGAGAAGTGTTGTTGAATCGGTTTTCCATTGTTGCTAGTTCTAAATCGCGAATCCAACAGAATTGCTAAGGTGAGAACAAGTTGGTGTTTCTTCGTATTCATGTATATTTAGTTGATTACTTAGTTTAGGATTAAGCCAAGCATACCTACGAGTTACATATGTTATAAGTAACTGTATTTGTTTGCTGAATGTATTAATATTTATAGGTATATAAATATATTTTTTTTATAAAATATAAACTAAAAGAATTAAGATCGTAGAAATGAAAATTAATTAAAAATAAATATTTTAATGTGGGTTGCGTGATTTGTGAAAGGCATGTTCTTATGTCGTAAAATAAATTGTTTGAGTGTGAAGAGATATGTGCCGCAGAGAATCCTGTGAGAAGAGATCTTTGTAGTTGTGTGATGGCCTATGGGTGCAGATTGGAGATAAGTCAGGATGGCTGACGAGCTAACGAGTGTAAAGTACATGGAAAAAGTGCAATAGGCACGTGAGATTTGGTTGTGCGAGTGAAATGTGCAGAGAAGAAGTAGAGAATATTTGTAACACGTTTGGTAGACTACCCATTGGATAATGGAGTAGAGAAGTTGAAGCTTTGCATATATGGAATAGAAGGAGATTTTTTGCTGAAGCCAAGAGTGTTTTTGCAAGCAAGTCTAGTGACTTTGAAGTTATCAACTATCCGTGGTTTGATTAGGATAGATGGAGATTATGTAACTTATTTTCATATTCTGCGTTTGAAAACACTGTGGCTTGATGACATTCGAATTGTTGATGCTGAAATATTTGTAAGTCTCACCTCACGCTGGCCAATACTTTAGGAACTAATGATGATTGATATGAAGTGGTAAAAATGGGAAAATGGGAAGCTTGTTTTGTGGTAAGCGCAAGTCTGAAAAGATTGAAGATAATATTGACTAGTTATATGGAAATGGATGAGTTTGATAGATGTCCTCAGAGTGTGTTGTTTGACACTTCGAATCTCTTATACCTGGAGTATACTGATCATATTGTTGGGCAAGAAGACAGGGAAGAAGAAGTGATTGTTGGTTATAATGCCACATCCTTTATCGCAAGAATAACCAGTGTTACTATATTGATGTTTGAAAATTGCTTGTCTGACAACCATAACCGGTCCAACATTTATAAAGGCCATACGCAAAAAAAAAAAAAAAAAAATGTATGTCATTTTATTTTATGCAAAATCACATAATGTAGTAATATAACAAAAGTCAAATTAAAATTTCAAAAACAATTTCCAATTCCATAGACAGTTTGTAAATAAATAAATAAATAAAATAATATGGCTTTTATTTTCGAAATTTAACTACTCTCTTTGCATTTTTTTCTTGCAAAATCATCCAATTAACTTCAAATAGTCGAGCTTTTTGAAAATAGTTGTCTCAATCGATAGCAAAGTTGTTAACAATAATTTCAAATAAGTTCAAATTATACACTTTGGTTGCCTTTACCTTATTTTATTTACACAAAAGAAAACAAAACAAGTATACTAAGCATAATCTAAACCATGAATTACTATAACACATGTACTTTTTTTGCCCGGTGGATTAAATTTTTCGGATTACTATTCTCTTTTCTAGTCGTTGTTCTTAATCAATTATCACCCACATCTACATGCCAAATCCACTACCGATCCTATAAAACAAAAACAAATCGAAAACTTAAAATCACCCTTTAAAGTAATACTCAATGCCGACTTTGAACGAAGTAGCTAAATTTAGATATTTACATGATAACATATATGTAAATATAATCAAAACAAGTTTTTGGTTTTGTAATTG